GACAAAAACATGTATCTTTTGGCCAAAAGGCAAAGGTGTGTATGTGGAAGAAAACTAGCAAACATCATGCTGTGTGTTCTGAACCTTTAAACATTCAGCCAGAGCTACAACTGAATGATTTTAATCATAATTTTCTCATTTGTTAGAATGGACCAAGCAAAGTCAAAATTTAAATACATATAAAGGATCTGTGGGAATATTAATTGCTGATGGACTGTGCTTAAGCTGCTTTGCATTTTTTCTTTTTACATTTCATATTTAAGCGTAACTTGATGTTGATGTATCAAATGAAATATAAAAATGGTTCAAGGAATATGACATCTATAGTCATATGGAAAAATTTTAATTTCACAGCATAAAAAAACAATGCTGTCAAGTATTTCTAATATCTACCTGACAAAAAGTGTAATAAGATATTAGATGCCAGAAGCATTGCATTTGAATGAATCTTCATCCACTTCACCTTCCTTAACTTACTTTTTTCTGATGTTTTATTAATATAGAAATAGATTAACAGTAAAAGACAATTTGCTGCTTTACTTTTGATTATTAGGAAAGTAGGACTTGTGCAAGTGAACAGCAGATTATTGAAAGAAACTGTTCTTTGATTTTTTTATCAAAAGACTTACAGCAGCATCAGTGGCCTTAGTATCTCTGTCTTACCTGGACAAGTGAATTCAACAAACTGGAGGAAAAACCAACATTAAAACAAGAAATGCTCATCAGACAAGGCAGGAACAGAGTGAAGGACTTCTTAACCCTCCTGTTGTCTTCGGGTCATTTTGACCCGAAGACAACAGGAGGTTAGTCTTATTTTTTTCGTCAAGTTCACATTTGAATTGCTCCAGCAGAAAATTCCATCTGAGTTGTGAACACTGTAGGTCTGATTCAGGACTGTTAGATTTCAAGTTTCTGTATGCAGTTGCAATTAAAAAAATGTTTTATAAGGGCTTGTCCTCGGGTCATGTCAACCCGAGGGCAACAGGAGGGGGGGGAAATTTGAAAAGATATCAGTTTTACGGAGATCAGTGATGCCATTCCATACTGTTTGCCTGTCCAGCTGTGATTTCCTTAGTCTTCCGGTCAGTCTGACCTGAGGCCTGGGTTTGGTTATTTTTATTTCTTTTGTAAAGTTCACATTTGGATTGCTTGAGCCTAAACTTCCCCCTGAGTTGTGCACACCATAGTTCTGATGCAGGACTGTTAGATTAAAGTTTCTGTATGCAGCTGCAATTGAAAAACATATTTTTTAAGGGCTTGTCCTCGGTCGACATGAGCCGAGGACAACAGGAGGGTTAAACTGAGAGCTACTTAGACACCTGACATTCCCCATCTTGTCTCAGCCAGACAGCCAGCCAGCCTGACCCTGTCTTTGCATGTCTCTTTCCTCAGGTGGAAAAGCTGAGGGCTGCTGCGATTTGGCAGGGAGTGTTGCAGGTGTCTCAGGCTGCATCCCAGTTGTGTGTGATTAACAAAAGCCCACTAACTGACACTTGGTGACTGTGATCAGACAAAATAATCCTTAAATAAGTTTTCTTTTTTTGTTGATGTGGTCGTGTCTATTGACATTATTAAATTATATCAATCACAAGGGTTATAGTCAGTGCAGGAAAAAGAAGAAAAACCTTTAAGCTACTTACTACTTTGACCAGCTGTGACATGGACACCTCAAACTGCACAATGACCGGGTCAGACACATTTTCCACAGGCCGGATGTATTGATTGTACTTGGAGAATATCACTGAGAAGAGCTTGTGCTCTGCTTCTGAACATGTGCCTCCTGCATCAAGGCAAATTGTCAGACATGGATCAGCGACTGCAGGATTTTTCATAATGCAGAAATCCATGTCATACATTTTTGAGATAATTTTGGTATTTTACCTGCATGCAATTTGGTCTTAATGTACAAATTTAACATTATTACAAATCACTCAATGACTAGCAACTAAATTAAATAATTGTTACAATTAAAAAAGAAAGTTTTCAAATTTGTGCATGTTCGGCTGATCTGAGAAATTAAAATTTGGTGTTTTTTTAATTCATGCAAAAGAAACACTTAAGCAACATGTAAACCTATGAACAGAAATCAAGAAAATGCAACAAGTAAGCAAGATGTTACAAATAAAAGAAAACTTACCTGACAACAGATGCAAAAAGAACAAACAACTTAATATGAAGTCAAATCTATTATCCATCCTGTGGTAACCGATAAATCTGGGGTCAACTGCAGCAGAGCTCCGCGATGCACACAGAGGGAGAACGAGTGAAAGCGAGTCTACAGCTGCAGACACAACCGGAGAACAGGGGGAGGGAGGCAGTGGCACAGTAAAACACACAACCAGTCACCGAGAGGAACCACGCAGCACACAGATGTGCAGGCTATGGTCACCAAATCAAATCAGAAAACAAGAAATGTAAAATTTAAGAAGGATTTTTGTTTTGTGAAAAATAAGTAAAATAATAATAATAATAATAATAATTCCTTTAAGTCAATATGCTAATTGTCGAGCAGCCACTGGGTTCAGCAAATCAAATGCTTTATGCTGTCAGTAGACCAGGTGGTATTCACTTGGGTTTCCCTCTCACACGCATTCATCATAAATTAAATATTAAATCCCAGGCCACTGAGCGGCAGTGCTTTGGACAGCCTTCAGCATAACATATTTATGTTTTGAAAAAAACATATTTTAATTAAAACTAATTGTGAAGCTGGATTTTACTAAAATCAGATATTTTCATTTTTGAATGAATTAACTGACTTTTTTTCAAACAGCTTTGTGGGTGTCATCTATTAAGAAAGGGAAGGTCCAAGTTTTCTTCAGCTGACATCAAACTCTAAGGTCCTTCGAAAATAAATAAAACATTTTCAGGACCAGGTAGTTGCTTTAACTCCCTTAAGTGGGTATATAAATAAAAGTAACTTCAAGATATGGAATAATAATCTCCTGCATAGTGAAAAAAAGAAAAAGAAACAACAGCAATAGAAAAATCATGATTACTGGCTCAGTTATAAAACAAAACAATACAATAAGGTGTCAACATCTTTGAATATTATCCAGTAGTTAAAGTTATAAAGATTAAAAACCTAACAGGATTACATTATGTTTAAACTCTAGTCCTTGTTGGACATAATTCACTTTAGACTAAGAAATTAGAAGCCATTAAAAAAGCTTTACTCCCACATATGATATGGCAAAATACTCCTAACTGACTTAGTTTTGTAGATGACTTAAGTATTTGAGTTCTGGTGGAGTTTTTCATGTGAAACTTCACTTTAATTTAGATTCTGAAGGACAACACCCTGAACTGACCATCAGCACTAAACATGGAGGTAGCAGCATAATGTTGTGGTGTTGCTTTTTTTCAGCAGGGACAGTGAAGCTAATCAGACTTGATGTGAAGATGAATGTGATGAAAAATGAACAGAAAATTCATATTCGAAATGTACAAAACTGGTAGAGAAATCTCAAATGATAATAAAATTATGTCAAATGTATCAATTAAAAAAAGCACATACTTCTGATA